CCCCAAAACCCCAAAACCCCAAAACCCCAAAACCCCAGCATATTATATAATATTGAAAACAAAGGTAAGAATGGAGCTTATTCAAGTTTAAACTAGGGTTTAGAGGTTTCTGAGAATATTTTAAAGTAATTTAGAGGGCTTAGAATTCAATTTGATACACAAGGAGTATATTTAAGTTTTGTGGGGTTGAGGTTAAGACGATTTTGAAATGAAATAAGAAAGTTAGTGAATGATAGGAAGATAACTGGGTTTTTAAAGAGATAAGTATTATTTAAGGTTAAAAGAGTTATTGTCACATTTTTTGGAGAAAATAATCAGATTTATTGTTTAATAATCTTCGAAACTTCCTTGAAATGCTTTTAAGTTAATATAGATTTTGCATTAATTTCTTCTACCAGATATAAATTTTAGCTAAGTGTGTACCTACAATAAGCCAATTTATTTTATAAGTATCCTGAAATTAATATTTTGTACTAGATATAGTCTCTCCTCTTTAGAACATTGTTGTTTTTAAAATTTTAGGAATGTTTGCTAACTTATTTGAAGTCAATCATTTCTACTAAAGCATCTATATTCAACCAATGGCAGGATAATCTCAATATGACATGGCATCCTAACTCTTTGCTCTTGATTTAAAAATCTGGAGTTTTCTTGTTCTAAATTTTCTGATTTTTTGCAAGAATTAATGCTTAGACTATGGCCTTTCAGGTTCCATATTGAATTTAATTGACTAAAAATTTAAGATATTAGAGCTAGCGATAGATTATTGGCATGAACTATTCCTAGTAACAAAGCAAGAGAATCTAATAAGCATATTATTCCCTTTTCTTAGCCCTTGAAAACTAAGATAATGTAGTAAATTATCAGTCACGTTTCTTCTAAATGTTACCATACCAACTGCATTTAAAATCCATCGGAGTTTAAGAAGAAATGTCTTACTAGTCTTCACCTCTCAAAGATTTTTCTTAATAAAAGTCTCGGTTACTTCATTCTCTACGATTAATCCTTAAAGCAGAGCCTACAAATGCTATAAATGGGCAATAAATTCATTCGAATCTTTGAGGTTAAGCCAAAGTTTTTCATAAAAACTTCATAAAAGTTTCTTTAAACATTCCATTATTTGGTCACCTAAAAATAACTTCTGTTAGAAAGAGTCTGTTAATTTCTATTCATCCCTATCTGAAGTGTAGTTTCTTGCTGAATTATAGCCGGAGCAGAGACCTGCCATTTTTGTGACTTGAATGCTAACCTATACGTAGATGAAAGATAACACACAAGCTTTGTCAGAAAGGGCTCAAATGGGCAGACAAGTTCAGGTATTTTAGCTTTCACTTAAGTTTGACTTCATTGAAATTTCCCATTTTCAGCTAGCTTTTTGGCATAAACTTGACACTTTGGGTAGGAAATAGGTAACTTTTCCAATAAGAGGAGGAAGATTGAAGAAGAGTGTGCTAGTGAAGGAAGAGATGCTATTTTGAAGAGTAAATTTAAACTGAGTTTTAGATGCAGAGATAAAGCAAAAAGACCAAAGCAAGGTAGATGGCAATGTAATTCTGCTACTATTATGTATAGATACTGCTGAAAAATAATGGAGAGCTTGAGCCTTGTGAGCGGAAGCATTTTAAGATAACTGAGATAGATGAGACTTCTGGTAAGAGGATATGAAAGCTACCTCACAATAAACATTTGAAATCCAAGGACCCAGCCGAAGGTTCAACAGAAGAGGATCAAGATATCAATGGGTATTTGTCTAAACTTCAAAAAGTAAAAGAATCCAAGCCTCCAAAAGTCTATAAATTCGATGAAAACTCGACTGATGTACCATCTAAGATAATTTATAAGAAAAGACAATTCAAAGAGAAGATAAAGAATGATGAAGAGCTTCATTCTTCTGAACTCTATCAGATAGACAGAATATACAATAATGGACTAAAGAACTCTCAACATGGATTAATAAGCACGAATGAGAGCTTTGAAAGAGCTAAACTAGCTTCTAACTCAAAGCATCATGATACTGATGAGCAAAACTTCATCAAGAAATCCTCAGAAGTTGTCACTAAAAGTGCTGATATGAATAACCTAAATCAAGACTCCAATACAGCCACAGAAATTTCCCTCGGTACAGACACTATACTAACTAATGAAGCTGAAATAATGATTTGGGTTCCTTATAAAATTGTCAATAACCAAGAGACTGGCCTGACAATAGTCCCATTACACTCTGTAAAAGTTGTTATTACTCCTATGCAACCAAGAGACCACTTATCAACTCTGGCTCAACTATTATACAACAAAGCCCATAACTCTGGATCAGACTCTATAAATGACAATCAACAAGACCCTCAAAAATTGCTGAATAAAGTATCTTCACTATCCATCAATACCAAAACCCTCGACACCAACCCCCACCCTAGCCAGTCCATTAGCTCCAAGCACTCCCCTCTCTTATCCCTCCTAATCCAGCACCTGACCACAAAATACTGATTCTGCCAGACCTCCCTATCCCCATAAACCCCAGCCAAGCCCATTCCTCGACCAGATCCCCAGCCAAAATTTCAATTTACCCTAAAAATCCCAGCTAAAAATCTCTTCTTCACTATTCCTCATTTCTCAACCCACATCTCTTCCCATTCTCTCAGCCAGAATCATGAATAAACCCACCACTGGTTTATGAAGAAAAAATGAATTTTTGTAGAAATTTAGGATTTTGAAGGATTTTTTGAAATTTTGATTTTTTTGGAAAGTTCAAGTTTAGGAGTTTTGTTTGGGGTTTTGGGGTTTTGGGGTTTTGGGGTTTTGGGG